ATAGTGGGAGATTGTTTTCCTAAAAGTCTAAAGTGTGGAGCCAATGGAGTCACCACCGACTTTGCACTTTGCATCTCGAATATCGCGATCACCCGTTCTATGTAGCCCTTCTGACTCAAGAACAATCGTCGGTTTGCTTGTTCTCTTCTAATCTCCATACCCATTATTTTCTTTGCAGCGTCCATGTCTTTCATCTCGAACTCTTTGCTAAGTTGAGATTTCAACTTATCAATCTCCACCTTGTTCTTCGATGCAATAAGCATATCATCCACATACAAAAGGATATAGATATAATCACCTCCACGAAGCTTCCGAATGTAAACACAACAATCATAGTCGGTTCGAAAAAACTTATGCTTCAGCATGAAGGAGTCAAATCGCTTGTACCACTGTCGTGGAGATTGCTTCAATCCGTAAAGTAACTTCCTCAAGAGACATACATGATTCTCCTTGTCCTTAACCTTGTAACCCTCAGGTTGATGCATATAGATCTCTTCATCCAAGTCTCCGTGCAAGAAGGCCGTCTTGACATCGAGTTGTTCCAGCTCAAGATCACCATGAGCAACAATACTCAATAGCACCCAAATAGAAGTGTGTTTCACCATCGGAGAAAATATCTCATTGTAATCCACACCCACTCTTTGTGCAACCCCTTTAGCCACTAGTCTCGCCTTGTATCTTGTTCCACCGAGCTCTGAAGGATCTTTCTTTCTCTTATACACTCACTTATAACCAATAGCTTTTCTTCCTACGGGCAATGGGACCACCTCCCATGTTTGGTTCTTCCGGAGAGATTCCATCTCCTCCTCCATCGTAGCCAACCAACTCTCGCTATCTCTATCCCGAATAGCTTCCTTGAAGGAGACCGGCTCATCTTCCTCCACCGAGAGTACGTACTCAACCAAATTAACCTGCCCATAGTGCTTCAAGGGTTGATCAGCCCCCAGCTTCTGTACCTGCTTGTATGCTCGCCTTGGCCTAGTGGAAGCCAAGCTATCCTCGAGCTGCTGTTGTTGTAGTGCCTGTGTATTCTCCTGCTGAACCTCCTCCTGCTCAAGCTCATCATCTACCTGATTTCCCACTTGAACATGACTAGAACCTGGTTGGTCTTTAGGTTCTATATCAATAACCTGGGACTTAGAATTCCTAACAGTCTCAACACCATCATCCTTGGGCATCCTAGCAATCATGGACTTCTCATCAAAAGTAACGTCCCTACTGATCACGAACTTTGAATCTTCTGTACACCAAAAGCGATAGTCTTTTACACCATTTGCATATCCCAAGAAAATTACCTTCTTGGCCCTCGTGTCAAGCTTTCCCTCGTTGACGTGATAGTAGGCGGTACACCCGAAGATCCGGAGCCTCTCATAATCTGCATGCTCCCCTGACCACACCCGATAGGGTGTATCACCGTTCAATGTCGAATGTGGAGATCGATTCACTATATAGCAAGCTGTAGCAATCGACTCTGCCCACCATTCTTTGCCCAAACCAGCATAAGATCGCATACTCACTGCTTTCTCCCGCAGTGTTCGGTTCAACCTCTCCGTGATCCCATTTTGCTGTGGTGTAGATCTAACTGTCCAGTGTCTGTCAATACCCTCCTGAACACAGAACTCCTTGAAAGCACCGTCTGTATACTATGTACCATTATCAGATCTCAGTGTCTTCAATTTCTTGCCTGTCCTGTTCTCAACCATCGCCTTCCACTTCTTGAATGTCTCAAATACCTCATTCTTATGCTTCAGAAAATAAATCCAAGCATATCTCGAATGATCATCTATGAATGAGACAAAATATCTGGAATCGCCCTTGGAAGTTATCGAAGCCGGACCCCAAACATCCGTGTGCACATAATCTAGTATCCCTCTGCTCTTGTGCTTGCTCCTCAAAAACTGGACCCTGTGCGCCTTTCCATACACACAATCCTTGTAAAAATCCATGCAAGGTTTCTTCAGATTCTTCAACAACTCATCTTTACCAAGCAGATCTAGACCCTTCTCTAACATGTGCCCAAGCCGCCTATGCCATAACCGTGTGTGCTTACATGGGTCTCCACCACTTCTATCAGTTCCAACTGTTGCATCTCCTGTCACCGTCGTACCCGAGAGAGTATATAGATTACCGTGACAAACTCCCTTCATCACTGTTAGGGAACCTCGAACAGCCCTCTTCACTCTGTTTTCTGTTACAATCTTGTAACCCCCGGAGTCCAAAGCACCAACTGAGATAAGATTCTTTTGCAAGTCGGGAACATGCTTTACATCCGTCAAGGTTCGAACCACTCCATCATGCATCTTGATCTTAATATCACCTAGCCCCACCGTTTTACAAGCATGGTTGTTTCCCATCAATACGGTTCCACCATCAATGCTCCTGTAGATAGTAAACCACTTCCTATTTGGACACATGTGGTAAGAGCAACCAGAATTAAGTATCCACTTCCCGGAGGTATCCTCGCCACCGGTGACGACATAGCATTCCTTATCGCTCTCTTCCTCTGAAGCGTAGCTCGCCTCTTCCTTACCTTCTCGTCTTTCAGTCTTGTTGTTGTTCTTCTTCCCACCTACTCTCTTGTTAGGAAAATTAACTTTGAAATGCCCTAGCTCACCGCATTTGAAACACGGTCTTTCCGCAAGAGGTCTTGATTTTGATCTATACTTTCCTCCCTTGCCTTTTTCTCGCTCATTGTCTCTGGCGAAGAACCCCTGCGCTTGTTCTTTGTTACCACCAGTGGTCATATCACTAATTGTAATTTTCCGAAGATCATCTACTAGAAGCACCGTTCTAGTCTCATCCATCGATAAACTGTCACCCACAAGCATCAGTGTTTGAACCAGATTCTCATAAGACTTCGGCAGAGATAGAAGTAGTAGAAGTGCATGATCCTCGTCTTCCACTGTCACCTCATTGTCTTTCAAATCCGATAAGATCCTATCGAACTTGTTGATGTACTCCTGGATTGACGAGCCTTCCTCCATCTTGAAAGTGTACAATTTGGATTTTAAATAGATCCGGTTCATTAGACTCTTCGTCATGAAGGTACTTTCTAACTTCAACTACACGCCTGCAGTCGTTTCGTCTCCATCTACCAAGAAAGCTACATCCCTTTCAAGGCAAAGGATAATTGACGTCCGTGCTTCCAGATCCAGCTCCTCCCAATCCTCATCAGACATATCCTTGTGCTTCTTCTCTTTTCCCGCCAAAGCTTTGTGCAACTTTTGCGAAATCAATGAATTTTTCATCTGCATTCTCCAATAGGAAAAATTATTTTTTTCCATTGAATTTTTCAATCTCGTTCTTTCCAACTTAAACTATTTTACTGTAGACGCCATTCTCCGCTTGTTTTAGTAAATCTGTTTCTCTCAGGAATTTTAACAAATACCTTGTGTTCACCACACAATAATCAACAGCCACCTTAGATCAGTAACTCAACCACCGCAGATCTGAATAAGGGCTCTGATACTAATTGTTGGGCGCAGAGTCACGCCCTCACGTCGTGGAAGCGATATCACCTGAGAGATAGCCCTGACTTTCGTTATCACAAAAGCACAAGTCAACCTCTATATTCTTGTTTCTCAAAGGAAACAGGAATAGAAAGTGAAATTCTTATTTCTCAAAGGAAACAAGAATCGAAAGTGAGATATTTCATCAAAGTAAAATATACACTCTTCCTCTCATCAATTCTAAGACTGAAATGTCGAGGGAACCTACAAGCTATGGCAACTCACAGATAAGACAATACAAACACGAGATTTACGTGGTTCGGCTAACTAGCCTACGTCCACGGGAGGGGGGTTTCACTATGAGGAGAATACCAAACTCTTACAAGTTCTCTCTCAACTTACTCTTTCTTTTCTCTCAAAAGAACTCCACATAACCCACTTAGTATTTTTTTCCCCACCCTAAAAACACCTCCACCCCTTCTCTATTTATAGGAGAGAGCAAGGGGCAAGGCCAAAGCTTTGGCGGGCAGACACGGCGGGAAATCGCGGGCGAGCGGGAAATGAACGCGGAAAAGACACACGCGCGCGGTGGGAGGCACGGACATGAGCCCACGCTCGTCGTGGCCGCACAAGCGGCGCCCCCTGACCACCCACGTGGGTGGGCCCCCCTATCACAAAGAGCAATCGAAGTTAATTGTGATGGAGGATGGGTTGATCGAACATCGAATGCCACGGTTGGGGTAGTTGTACGTAAGGGGTCGTGATGGCCTAGTAGAGAGGCTGCTGGACGCTTCATCACCAGACCTGCACGGTCACCGTTGATAGCAGAGCTTCTTGCAGTTCGACAGGGGATGATTTTGGCCAAAAAACCTAAGTTATCAACGTGTGGTCTTGAAGTCCCGAGAGCTCGTTAGCCTTATGCAAGGGGCCTAAAATCCATACCCCCAACATGGCAGGGCTAATTGATGGATTGCTAGGGATGAGAACTGTCCTCCAACTACATAGTTTTCCCTTGATTATAGCTGGATACGGGAACCAAATTGCTCGTTATTTTGGCTCAGAAACCTTCAAATTATAGTAGTGTATCGGAAGATGCGATGCCTAAGATGTTGGCGCAGTATGTAGTCGTTCATGATTTGATGGATTAATAAAATTTATCCATCTTTCTATCCCCAAAATAGAAAAATAAAAATAAAAACAAAAATAGCTTCTTACGTTGGGTAGGGATTTTAGATCTTTAATAAAGTCATGGTGACTTGTGCCCGTGTCATTTACGAGTGGCAAGCCTTCTATAAGTCATCTGAATTATTACTACTTTATCCGCGAAGGACAAGCCCGAACTAATGCAAATTGGAGCTTTATTTTTCTCATGTGCTCCATGGCAATAGCTGTTGCATGCTTCCTCAGTTTTTGACAGTGTCATAGAATCGCTTCCAAAATTCTAAACAATTGCAGGCTGTCAAAAAAGCAACATCATTTAGAACAAGACAAAACAAGCACCTACAACATAAACTCAGACGAGGATAGTAGAAGACAACAGGAAAATGAAGATGGCCACAAACAACATCAAAGTGAGTAATTTCTTATTGTACGAATTGAAAACACAGCTGCTTTCTCTTGCAAGTTGGAGCAGTATGATCCAAAGACCAACAAAACAATCAAAACGCCTCCAATGAAACTAAAGACGAAACAAACATGACAAGGCTATGTCACAGCCTACTTAAAGGTTACCTACCAAAATTTCAGATTCAGGAGTACATTATTTGGTTTGATAAACAAAACACGTTATCAAATTGCAAAATCTTGTGCCTATAAATCAAGCAGAAGCCTCCTCGGGTCCTCAACCACATCCTTGATACGACGAAGGAAGAAAACAGCCTCTCGTCCATCGATTAATCTATGATCGTAGGTCAGTGCAATGTACATCATTGGCCTTGGGACAACATTTCCATCAACCACCATGGGACGTGACACGATGGAGTGCATGCCCAAGATGGCGGACTGCAATATATTTGTAGAGGAATTAGAAGTCATAAAAGTGCCGGAAATAATATTGCTCATATCAATCACTATAATAAAATTCATATCAAACTAAAGCATGTGAAACTAAAATCTTGATTACAAATAATATCAAATAAGAAACATATAAAACTTGATATGGATGTAGTGTACCTATTATATACATGAGCAGAATACAACAAATAGAGAACAAAGCGAAGTTCTGGATTGGGCACAAATGCCTTGCACAAACTGTAATGGTGAACTATATAAGATCAAATGAAAATGAAATAAAATGCACACACCCGGGGAATATTTGGGTATGAGGTGGCAGGTCATCCTACTAAACGAGCTACCAAAAGGTAGACTACGTGAGAGCCATCCTACTTCCTACTCCTTATCTCTTGGTAGCTCATTTTGCTAAGTGAGGTGGCAGCACATAACAAGTATCCCCTATATATAAATTGATTTTATTGAATTTTTTTTAAAGTAATGCTTCCAGCATCTCTGTCATTTCTCCTGCCATGGAAGTTGCTGCAGGTCGAAACGAATTTTCATATCAAAGATAAATGCTAAAATAAACTAGAAATGAAAGCAACATAACAATTGAGGATGGAGCAAATAATTCTCAAATGTAGTACTACTAATGATAAGCGAACATTATATAAACAAAGTGAAACCAAACTAGAGAAATAATGTTGGTAAGAGAAATACTTGTGGGGGATTAATAATAGGAGTGCTTAAAAGGCTTCCATAGACTCCACCATTAGATATTGTGAATGAGCCTCCAGCCATCTCATCGATGGATATCGTACCATCACTTGCCTTCCTAGCAAGGGTATTGATCTCCTTCTCAATATCTGCAAAATTCATCTTATCGGCATTGCGGATAACAGGAACAACAAGGCCCTATGGAAAATAAAAACAATAAAATGTGAAAAAGGAACACACTAGTTAGCACAACATAAAAGGATCAAATAAAATCTAAACTGGTGTCAAAGAAAATGGCAAACCTTAGGTGTACCAACAGCAATACTGATATCGACGTATTCTCTGTAAATGATATCCCCGCCATCAATAACCGCATTTATGATTGGTTGGCTTTGAAGTCCAGTAACAGCAGCCTGACAATGTTACAAGTTCAAGGTATATTAAAAAGTAAACATTGGAAAAAGACTATATAGTTAGTCGTAAACTACGTACCTTCACAAAACCTGACATTAGCCCAAGTTTGACACCATGTTTTTCCACAAAGGCATCCTTATAATCTGAACGGAGTTTCATCAGATTTGTCCTGTATTACAAAATGCATAATGATGATGTTCAGATAACGTTGTAAACAATAAAATTAGATGTAAATGGCAGCAACACAATAATTTGCTAATGCAGAATGAGAATTTTCTCCTACACAGCCAGCCACAAGCAAAGTCATTTATGGACAGGCACTCCTCTAAAGTCCAGGCATGATGGCACAACTATGCATTAGCTTTCTTTCCAATGCCCGCACATGTACATGGATGAAAGGAACAACAAATAATAATGCACCATACAGAACATCTTCTGAAAAAAGATAAATTGCTAAAGATAAATTGAAAGAGTAGAAGATTTATCTTACTAGGTTCCTAACATCTCAAGAGTTTCTAGTTTGTTGGTCATATTCAGTTAGAATCCCGATTATTAGATTCTTGATTAGCTTGGTTAAGTTTTCAGTTAAGAGTCTCTATTTACATGGGATTCTTTTTGAATGATTCTTAATAAGCAAACTTTTAATGTAAAAGGCTTCCTACTTTGTACGGAGATCAGACTAGAGGTTATTTTACAAGTGAAAGCTCGCTCTCTACAAACAATATGTTTCGTTTGTCTTTTCAAACCTGTGACTCTGTGATTAGTTCACTTTGATGTGAAATTCACAAATAAAGATGTAAAATCTCCACTACCTTTACTGTCTTTTTAAATTTATTACTGCTTTCCCTCGAATCCTTAAGAAATCTCTACAACAACCATAATCTGTTACCTCATCCAACATTTTATTTCACAAAAATCAGCTCTTGAATCAAAATCTTAAACCTTCCGCCAATCCTGTAGGCCCCACATAAATTGAAATTACGATGATAGGTCGAGAAGGCCCGAAATTTAGAATGATATTCATACATCACTTACTCTTAGATTGCATGCTCCACTTCATACATGTGTATATTCTATACATTATGTACATATACGCACATATACACACACCTGTGTTACCCGGGTACTTCTACCATGAAGCCATACCCACACCGAACACTTACCCGTACCCAAACTTCATGGACACTCCTTGTATATATATTCATACATTTATTTAGATACGTACTTGATATATGTTTTAATTTAATACACTTGGCATGCACTTCTTGAATGCATATCCTACACTTGCATCTATTTCTTGAAACTCGCTAGATATGGGTCAGGTTTGTTTCAGCTCATGCTCAAGTTCAAAACTATGATTTTAAAGGCTTGTTTGAGTGTCTAGTTAGAAACGAGCACTTCCCCGCTTATAATAATCAACATAATAAAGGAAACTTAAAATTGTGGCAGGAATTTTAATTTTAAAAACACATGACTTGAAAAGGACTAATGATCTCATGTAAATTACTGATTCCAATATCTATATGTAGCCGTGTCCTCATACCCTACATTTTACAAATTTACCGTGTCCCGTACATGTACCCGCAACCATACCAGTACCGGTACCCATTTCCATGCAACTTAGATACACACAAATGAGCACATATGTAGTATCTACATGTGTCATAATAGACACAGTGTCACATCATTGAAATACACAATGGGTCATTCAAATTCTTAATCATAATTGTTCACGAGGATTAGCACATTTTCATATCCAAAGAGGCAAAACAGATCGTTTGATACTAACCTACACATCACATAATGCCAAACATAATGACTCGCGGGTCTTCAAAGTTGAAGATTTTACACTTGATATTTGGCCCAAATAAATTTTAAGATGTAGCTCACATAAATGGTTTGGGCACTAACTTTGATGGTGCGTCCATGCATTTTTGCAGGTGCGCATATCTATTCAAATTACTTACCCGCCGCTACCTATACCTGGACCTGAGATGCTTTAGAGATGATTTCAGTTTCTTCAATTTTACTTTTAAAGTAATAAATGAAGGTATGTCATAGGAGCCCGAAACTAAGACAGGAAACTAGATAGACTTCCCACGTAGCACAATTAAAAAGACCATCATCTAATTGGTATAAGTACCCATACAAAATTAAAAATAAAAATTAAGAGTGGCAACTTTAATAAATCAGAAAACACTTACATATCAACTTCATTGAATGTAGTTAGCATAGCATACGTGTTCTGCGAATCCTTTAAACGGGTTGCAATTCTCAACCTGAGTCTAGGCATTGGAACCTTCAAAACCAACAAAATCAGAAGGTAATGAAGCAATACCAAAAAAATTATCAATTAAATTTCCTAAAGAATGACAATCATTAGAATTTGATATTTACTCGTCTCTCCCTTTCTTTGGGAGGAAGCTGTGGTTCTGAAGCTGAGGATTTTGGAGGCACGGGAACTTGTTTGGGTTGTTCTTTGATGGGTGCTTCTGCTTTTGGCTTTCCTTTATCAACCTTCTGCTTCTTTTCTGGAGGAGATGCCTGAGGGGCCTCTTGGCTTGATTTCTCTTCTGATGGAGCAACGTGTGTGTCACCGGCAGCAGATTTTGATATTACAGCAACCTTGGTCCCTGGCATCACTGTATCACCCTCGTTGGCTACAAACTGCAAATAATAAAACAAAGTGATGCCAAAGTAAACAATCAAAGCTGGAAACCATGATAGCAATATGATAACGATGGCAAAGATATTAAACCAGTCACATTGAATCCAGGAAAGGATATCTTGCCTTTTGAATAACCCCGGCTTCAGGACTAGCAACATCAATGGTCACCTGAAATAAGAGAGAAAAGTTTTGGGTAACTTACATATCTAACCTATTGGATGATCTCATGTATAGACTATAGTTTCATCCTGAGCAAAGTATTTTCTACTACTTTGAAGATAAGTAATCAGCAAAGCAACAATACCTTGTCTGTTTCAACCTGGGCAATCGGTTCATCAACTTCGACGCGATCACCAGGTTCTGTCCATCACATATGATGTATACAACAAGAAGTTACACATTTCCAATACTCAATATATTCAAGCTGCAAGCCTACAACCTACAACCAACTTGTTTGGTCGTACTTCTACTAAATGTTGAACAGATACCAACAGTCATGCATATATACAGAAACAAAAAGAAACATCATAGTATCACACATTCCTACTTTAACTCTATCTTTTTGTGCTAAAAAAAGTATGTTCTCTTCTATAAATTCTAATGAGCTAAATGTTTGTGGGGTCTGTTCTCTTTATCCACTAAAAAGAATGATACTGAGGCCTATGAATCAAAATTCAGCAGGCAATTAACAATCCAGCTTAGCTTTTGCTTTCAATTCTCAAAAAACCTTCAAAAACAGTAACATTTATATAATTTTACTCAAAGTCAGTTTGCAAAAGTTTCTACTAGATGAATTACGCCCAGATGTGAATTTGGCTTCATGTGTTGATTTTAAGATCTGCTTTCAAAATATAAACTGAACTTAAGCTGGTATAATGTCTGCAGGAATTCAAATATGCTTGCACGAGTTCATTCTGCAGAAGATTTTTCTCAACACATGAGGACATATTAACATGACCCACACCAGGACGAAAATTCTAAAATTACACAAACAAAACACATGGCTGGCACTCATGTCCAACATAATGCAGCTCCACAATAGAAAACTTATCTCGATGTAGGTTAACCTATGTATCTGCGTGCGTTACACAATTTTTTTGGGACAAGGGGCAGGGGGGTCTGAGAGAGAGAGATTGCTTACTCTTTAAAAACGTCGCTAGTGTGCCATCAGTAATAGATTCACCCATGAAAGGAACAACAGCCTCAAACAAATCACCTTCAAGGAGTAAAGGGGAAAAAAGGTGTAAGCGGAATTTCAATCCCGAACATTTGGTAAGTGGTAACATCAAATAAAGCAGAGATGAGACTTCACACAACACCAATAATACTAATAGAGGACATCAAGGGTTCAAGCCACAAACACACACACACACACACAAAGGAACTTCTATGCAACGCAGCAGTTAATACTGTGCCTCAAACACTCCCTAGAACCCAAAAACATGGGTGTACATCAGATCCTCCCGCACCACACAACAGCGAGAATCTTATGCACAGGTCCGCTCCTTGTATCAAATTACTATACTAGAAGATCTCAGAAATATCAGTATATAAAAGCAGGTAAAGAACAAGCAACTTACCACTATCTGCTGACAACAACCTAGTCCAGACTCGATAAGGAGAATCCTTTGGGAAGGATCCCAAGAGTTCCCTGCAAGTTAATGATTGATTCTCAGAGATAACTCTAAGGAGCGCAATAAGTTTTTTAAAAAAATGGCATCACAGAGGTTACAATTAAAGAAGTGACAGCTAAAAAGACTCGATTCCTTCAGAATTCAATGAGAGAAATCATCACATAGTTCACTGAAAAGCTAACCTTGCAGATTTTTGACAGATGGGACCACCTGAAATGAACATGATCTAAGTTTCTCACCTTAAATAATTGTAACAACCAACTTTTAAAATTCTAGGAAGTAGAAACTTTACCTGGAAAGATTTGATGGCTGAAGTTTCTGACATGTCTACAACTTCTCAAGAAAAATAATGTCTGCATGAATGCCAATGGTTTAGGGAAAAAACAGAGGGAGGGAGAAAGAGTATTAAAGAGAGTAAAAAGCAGATTATTCAAGGGCAGAAAGCCAGAAACACATCGCAAATTCAGAAACTTACATACTGGACTCATGCTTCTTCATTTGAAATTTCTCAAAAGAGGGAATATGAAGTGATAGCATGCAATTTCAACTGATTATAGAGCAATAGAGGTATGGCTTTATGTCAACCAATAAAATCAGCACGCTATAAGTTTGAAAATAGAATGCTAGAGGTTCGAGCTATATAAAAATATACGAATGTTAACCACAAAGAAGGTTCAACTCCATTCTAGAGCAGCAACATCAACAAAGCCTTTATCCCATATTTTTAGGTCAACTACATGAATCCTATTCTTCCATTCGATTCTATTTGGATCATCTCTTCTATTAAGTTAGTTATAATCATATCATTCTTAATTACTTCCAACCAAGTTCTTTTAAGCCGCTCTCTAGACCTCTTTGCCCCCATTAACTATAATCTTATCGATTTTCCTAGGACTAAGATGCCTACATTGTACATGACCAAACTATCTCAATTGATTTCTCACATTCATTCCTCAATAGGAGCAAACTCTAAACCCCTATTATCACACTCATTTCTTATCTTATCTTTTATTGTATATCCACAAGATCATTGTAACATTTTCATTTCTGCTATGCTCATTTTCTGCACATGTTTTTTTAAATGGATCTGCACATGTTTTTTAATAGCTCAACATTTTGATCCATAAAGTATTCTCCTATAACTATCCTATAGAATTTTCCCTTTAATCACATATGTATTCTACTATCACATAAAACTACTGAAGCATGCCTCCATTTTAACCATTTTGGAGCAACATCTTCAAAATATGTATCATATTTGGATGATTCGTCACTTGAAAGAGATGAAGAGCGAAGAAGGAAATGAGGAAATGCAACAAATAACTCTTGAACGTAATGCTAGAGTGGAAAGGCATCCCCTTCCAATGACCTCAGAATCGATGCATAGTGGCGTCCAATTAAGTAGAAATAATAGTCTAGGGAAATCGAACAAAACAAAATTATATAAAGAAATATATTTTTGAAAAACTATGATGTGATATGGTAAACATCACCAAATATTTATATTTAATATTTAACTTTTTTACTTGAACATGAATAATAAAAACCAAAAGGATAAACCGCATAATTCAGATTTCATAAATTAAAGCTTTCGAACTTGTGTAGTAGAGAGTAGATAAGTGTTCCCATCTTTTCAGAACAGGAAAATATTTTAACTTGCATCTCCATGGATATTCAAGCATTGCAAATAAATAACCTCAGCAACAATGGATATTCAAGCATAGCAAATAAATAACCTCAGCAGCCATCGTGAACAAGTCATCAATTTGTTAAAAGCAGGAAAAAGGGCTAAAAACACTCAAAAAATCAAAAGTGGTATCTTGCCGCTTTACTAAGGCCTAAGGCCCAGAATAGCTTATTAAGCGGTCAGGCTGCTTTTGTCTATGCTTAGTCTAGCAAAGGCGCGCCCAAAAGCACTTTCAAGATGAAGGCTAAAAGCACCCCAAAGCGATCAAAAAGCGGCCTAAACACTGCTTTTAGGTGGTTGCACCGCTATTCGTGGTTTTTTCCCATGTTTACATAGTTTTTTACCCAATCTTCATTTTAATATAGTATCCATGAGAGTCCATCTATTAGAAGCTCCAGGGATGTATTACGGAATTTGGTGTATAAATACTTCATATTGAGAAGTTTGCATACAGTTCAAAATCTAGTTGGGCTGGATTAGAGATTACAAGTTCAGATGAATAACAGAATATGAGCTTGAACTCAATGCACTCGTTACACATTTTCTACTTCTACTTGTACTTTTATGTTGATGTCATGGGTCCTGTGCTCAACACTTCAACATCCCACTATCTCAAGATCACTCAGTTAAGAATGATAGTTTTACAACACAAACGTGGATGCCTCTATCTCAAGCTATAACAACTGACAAGAAAAGGCAAATGGTCAGCTTTGAGGCTAGAATGGCAAATAAGTGACATCAGCATCTCATGAAGACCTAACCCAAAATGGGAAGCAACTATCTACAGGATTTCACCAAAGACCCAAGCCTAAAAGTTCAAAACAACTGCAGAATTTCACCCAAGACCTAACCGTAAATGGCAAGTAGCTAACTACAGAATTCCTCCGAAAACCTAACCCTAAATCAAATGAACCCAAACCAGACAGAACTACACCAAAGACCTAGCCCTATGTTAACATTTCATCAACTTTCATCACTCTCCATCAATGTTCACAACCCTTCAACCCGTAAATCAAATAAAAAAAATTAACTTTTCAGCTCCTTCATCACCACTCATCAACGGCTATCCAAATTATTATCCTCTCCCTTTCATTTTCTTTAAACCTTTAACATTCAAAAAAAAAGAAACTTTAGCCAGGTCTGTTTATTTCACATCAATTACATCTATGCCCTAACTTCTTCTAGATTGAACTGTGAAGAACATTTCGATCTATTCTAAAAAGCTCGCGAAATAATCAAATCGAAGAATCGAAAACCTTACAGCTACTGGACGGCGGATCAAGCGGCCGAGATTAGACGCCATCGATTTGAGCACGAAATTTTTTTCGTTGTCTACTGCCGCTGCTTTTTTTTTTCTTTTTCTTTTTCTTTTTTCCCCCTTCTTGGTCTATACTGAATGCTGTGACCTTTTCTTTTTCTCGTTCGCTCAAGAAACAGTGATTGGCACGTGATAAACTGTTCCGCGTTCGGGCCGCGGGCTTATAAATGGTTACCGATATACTTTGGACAAACTTTCAAAACCGACCTATTTGATTTTTTATTTGTAAAAAACGATTCATTTTCAAAATATTTGTAAAAACCGACCTGGTTTCAGCCCATGCGCTAAAACCAGGTCGGTTTCTGTAAGAAAATTTTCGAAACTTCACGGGAGTTCAACTCCCGTGAAGTTTAGCAGCTTAATTAGTAGTCTGCTAAACTTCACGGGAGTTCAACTCCCGTGAAGATATGAAGTTTGGTTCACCGGAGTCCATATTTTATCCTTTATTTGTTCACGGGAGTTCAAATTTCATTCTTTCTTCTCCTTCCTCTCTTCCACTCTCCTCTTTCACAACAAACTTTTCTGATCTTCTCCTTCCTCTCTTCCACTCTCCTCTTTCACAGCAAACTTTTCTGATCTCATTTCCACAAATTTCGAAGAACCCCAAATTCGAAATTGAGTACCTGTTCCCTAATCTTCAGATGATATTTTTATGATACACAGATTGCAACCATAATATCACTCCAATCTCTCCCTTGAGCCTAAATTGGGTAGGACTCGTTATTTTTCTCATTTTTTTACAAACCCTCCAATTGAAACAACGCATTAATCAACTCGAATTAGACATTTTACATACAAATGGAAACCCTAAATCAAGAATTTGGGGGAAATCGAGCACATGTTCCTTGGTTGTCGAGTGAGCGTTCAACTGGAGAGCGAGGGCGGCGTTGTAGGCGAGACTATGAGCGCGGAGATGAGGCAATCGCTACAAGGGGATAAGATAGAAAATGTGATTACGATGAGGAAGCGGCCTGGATATGGTAATTGTGTTTTTTGCAGGGATGAGACGAAATTGAAAAAAAATTTCTGAAACTTCACGGGAGTTCAACTCCCGTGAAGTTTCAGAGTTCAAAAAATTTGTTTTTGAACTACGAAACTTCACGGGAGTTGAACTCCGTGAAGTTTAGCAGCTTAATTAAAAGCTGTTAAACTTTATGGGAGTTCAACTCCCGTGAAGTTTCGGAACTTTTTTTATAAAAACCGACCTGGTTTCAGCGCTGAGGCTGAAACCAAGTCGGTTTTTACAAATAAAAATGAAATGGCTCGTTTTTTGGCAATAAATTTACAAAAGGGTTTGTTTTGAAAATTTGTCCGATATACATTCTTGGGATTTCCTCCACATCTCCCTTACATATACCGTATTTCTAAAATTATCTCCACATGTTTATACTAGGTGAATTGCACGTGCAATGCACGTGGTATAAATTTTTACATTTAGCTAAAATTGTTAGTTTAGTTTAGCATTTCACTCTAATTTATTCTTTGAATCATTTTAAGCTAATTTGGAGTTTATATACATTATAAACAAACATATGATAGCCTAGTGAAGACTCAGAAGGAGCACTGCTTTTTTTACAAATCTTATATCACCATTAAAAGGATGATTGTATAGTAAGACTTAGTTATATTTTAATATGTAAGATTGATTCATTAATTTGCATTGAAAAACTTTAAGATTTTCATTTTTCAATGTACAGAAGAATATAAATCAAAACAGTTTATTACACTTAATTCTAAATGAATATTTTCTCGTAAATGGGGTATCAAATTGTTAACGTTAGTATGTAAAAAGATCCTTTGACTCGGTTCCAAGCATTTTCAGTGAAAATATAAATAAAAGTATAATTTTACAATCGACAGTTTTATTCCTCTTTATAATGACAAGAAAGGAATTGACGCACGCATACTCTGCATAATTTTATACAATACGACTTAAAGTAAGAACAAGAATATCAGTTTTAAACACAACTTTGCATTATAATATGCTTCTCAAGTTACCTCTCCTCCATGTTCTAGTACAGTGTCTTCAACAACATCACTTAGCATTTCAATAGACGGCAAAAACTAAAGATGCATAGTCTTATTCTAGTATCAAGACCCTGCACTAAAATTGATAATAAAATTTGTTAACGAAATGTCATATTGAGAGTAGATAGAAAAATAAGTTAATACAGGGGGCACTAGTTACATTTGTTGTAGCAATATTAAATAGGGCACTAAGACAAAGACCTTGATTAGAATACATGTAATCACTCTCCTGAAAACGCTGAAGTTTATGTGATGACTTTGATCACCCTTTCCCTTCTACACAAGCATTATAAGAGTAGGTATCTCTAACATAAAAGAAATGTCTGAAAAAATATAAACTGCAAATAAATAATGCCAAGAGGGAGAAATTAGAAGAATTTTTAGAACCAAGTTGTTAGTCAGTCTAACTATTTAACTGCATCATAAAATCTTTTTACATTATTAAATTCATTTATTTAAAAAACAAACAAATTAAAATTGAGAGATTGTGCTTTTTAAAAAATACCACCTTCTATTTATATGAACCTGTGTGTACAGTACAAGCTTCCATTTATACAAGGATTCATTACCCTTTCTTTTTTGATGTAAAGTATTAGCAAAAAGATTCCAAAAGAGATCTAATCGTAACACCTGAGTTAAATAAATTTTAAGATATTGATAGAAAATTTTAGCATGTCAAAATAATATTATTGAGAAAAACTTTTCCATGAACAACCTTACAGTTCTGAATTTATGAATAAATATCTGATAAGTTCTCAAGAATTTGAAAGCCTTCTAGCGATTAACAGTCTATAGTGCATTTCAACAAAGGCTAGAGAGAAATTCAGAACCTCTTTTAAAGGAATCAATATCTCCAATTATTTTTCCAAATTCATTACTTTTCATGACTCGTTCATGCTTGTTGTCATTGCAAGCCCGTACATGACCAGCAAATTGCTGACAGTTTGGAGATGATAATCTCAGATATGTGTTGCACCGGTTAATAATATTAGTCTTTTGAATTGCTCTTATCTCCTCTATTTTTAATTTTAAAGCTTAACCAGTGGTGCAATGTGGTGCACTGGGAATTTAGTCTCCCCACTATTTTTATTAGGTAATAGTTGTATTTTATCATACTTTTTTGCATGCTTGAGGTTTATGATGTTTTAGCATGTCTGAATAGAATTCAAAGAACTTTAGAAAATGGCTATTAAGATTATTCTATAGGAATATACATGAAGTTTAATGTGAAGAGTATGCTTATTGAATCATTATCATACTTAGTTGTTGTCAATTAATATGGCATGCTAGTTGTAGTACTATGGCCATCTTTCATTTGGTATCTGCTAAGCATGTGATACTAACATTCTGCAGGTATAACATTTTGTTATATTACATGCCAAATAATTATAGTATGTTGTCAAAACTATGGGGTTTGAATCTTGTACTTACAACAAAAGAAGGGAAAAAATTATACATCTGGCTGAACTTTGACATTCTTAGGGTCTGTTATTTTATCATTATTTAAATATTTACATAACAAAGAAAAAGATAAAACAATGTCAATGTTCCAAGTCTATGTTATAGAACTGTCATAGCATATCAAACAATAGTCCCCAACGACTTTACCCATAGCATGTAGAAGTTCAAGTTGACTATTTTGAGGTTGCTAACCCACTAAACACATAATGTTCAATCCTAATTATTTATTACGTGTATTTAAGGGTAAAAATTTAAAAATTTAGGGGATCGATGATTGTTTGCATGGGTGCTCACTTGGGGCCATTGATGTGTGGAATGAGCTTATGTTGGAGGTTTTGAAGGAAAGATGAGACAGCTTGATTTGTGCAAGAGTGTATTCTTTGCTTGGAATATTTAATAAGATTTTGTAAAATTCTGAATAATTTACAATATTGATTTTCCAATCTCATTCAATTGACAAAGAAGATTTGTGTAAGTTCATAGTCAATATAAGAAGATTTATGTAAGTTCATAGACAATATCTGCGAAAATTGGATATGAGGATAGGAGAGAAATATTTAAGATGAAAAAGATGAGTCCTACTAATAATATTGGAGAATATATGAACCATGTTATACAAGAGCTATTTAAATAAAAGAAATTTTCTTAAATTAGAGTTCAATATATTTGATATATGTAAGTATAACTTTGGACCTCCAAAATTGGTTGTAGATCCACCAATCTAATGCCCAAATAATTTTAATTATGTGACCTATATATGTATATCAAAATATGAGAATTTGGATCTAGATATTGAACTTACGTTTGTCTTTGTATCTTTGTCCTACCGAAACTATAAAAAGTATATCTATATTTATTATCCATAGCAATCCTATCAGATACAAGTATGAATATATCCTTAGATATTTATATAATTCATCCTAAAAAATATACGCAATCAATTATACCAGCAAGATGAGCAAAAATCTCTCTGAAAAGTTAAGATATGAGAGAATTTTTCTACCTATTTCATCCCTATAAATATATGAAATCAATTGTACCAACAAGATTAGCAAATATTTCTCTGAAAAGTGAAGACATGATAGAATTATTCTCCCTAGGACACATTTTTGTAAAGCTCTCTTCATTGTGTAGTCATCCTCATTAAGATGGGAATGTAGAAATTTATGATTGAAAAGATCAAGTTGCTCTATTTTCAGCTCAAATAAAAATCGATACAAAACATTTCACTAATAAAGAGACATAAACCCTTCAATGCTTCAATTGCTTATTTGATCAGGCTATGTACCTTATTTTCATTAACTACCCAAGTCCTTATAGTTACAAAATAAATTCAGTACCTTGAACAACCACCTGAAAGTATGACTCAATGAATGTCAAATATTTTTGTCAAAGAAGTTAGGTTGATGGTGGCGTGTGAGAGGTATTTGGCATATAACCACATAGTTCTTTCCCTTGCTCACTTGCCCAAGATCCATCTTCCTTTTCTTCCGTGAAAACAACTTGCTCTTCTCTTTCTTCTTAAAGGAATAGTATTTATTACAATACTTGTGACATTTTATTAAAACTCTAGCGTTTAAAGTTATAACTAAGGATACAAATGGGATATTATGAATATAAGTGAGCATATCAACA